TTCCTTTCCTCTACCAAACCGTTTTTGCTAGGATGCACTTGAGAATTGCTATCATCATTACATCTTTTATGCTTTTTGCCCTAAATCCTCTTTCACAATCCTCCTTAGCAACCTATCCAAAATATCCAGCTGTTTTGCCATCTTCCTCAAGCTTCTTCATGAATTTCTCTTCACTCTCTTTTTGACTTCAATTTCTCACCTGATTACAGACTAAACAATTTCTACCTAGAATTTGATTTGGTAACATTGTTTCCATACATTTAAAATATTTTTCTGCAAATATATAAACTGTTTTATATTATATTATTTACATTATTTGGATTATTGTCCTCATCTTTGTTGCCATATTTATTACAACGTTCCGGCCATTGTACACTCCAGCCTTCATGACTAAAGACTGTATGTACACTATCCCATGCAGCTGTGGAAAGAAATATAAAGGAGAGACAGGCTACCCCCTCAAGGTAAGGCTTCAAGAACACCAGAAAGCTGTAACACGAGGGGAAGTGGAAAAATCAAATGTGGCTGACCACATATGGAGAGAGAAGGGAGATCACCGCCCTCTGTGGGATCAAGTTGAGATCATAGATAAGGTACACCATTGGAAAATTCGTAAACTTAAGGAATCAGCACATATGCTAGGCCACAAAAATCTCCTGAGCCAACCAAGCATAGAAATGAATACAATATGGGAACCATTAATAAGGAGTGCCAGAGAAAAGCAATAATAAAAACAAAGTTGCAATATGAGCTCTGGTAAAAACATGTGTGATAACAGCAAAAATTGCAATAAGAGCACTGGTAAAAATGGTTGCTGAAGACATTAGGTTTATAATACCCAGAAATTCATACACAGTGGATAAAGGCGTTGGTTAGATCCGGTGACAGGACCCAAAGAGTGTGAGTTCAATACCTGGTTATGTAGAGAACTTTCAGAGAGAACATTAACAGGAGGTAACTGATAACTGACATCCTTTGGCATACGAACTATAACAGTCTACACCAGTGAGCAAAATAAAGAGTTCAGTTTGACATTCCAACCACCTGAAGAAGGCCGGAGCATACAATGGCCGAAACGTTGTGATAAATATGGCGACAAAGATGAGGACAATAGTCCGAATACTGTAAATAGTATACATAATACCTCATCTCAGAAATATAGACAGATACTGAAAGGCCGAAACGTTGTGATAAATATGCCGACAAAGATGATGACAATAGTCCGAATAATGTAAATAATGTACATAATACCTCATCTCAGAAATATAGACAGAAACTGTTTTATTACTTCACAATTCTTCTCACTTGACATTTTCAATGAAACAATTTGATCACATTTTGTTTGAGTTGCCAAATTTAATTAATCTCCAAACAATAAAAGAAAAGTGTGTTAGGGAGCCATATGCAAAATTTTCAATTTATGTTTACATAATGGGTAAATATTTATGCGACACATTAAAGAATGTAGTGATTCAAAAATTTTAATAAAAAACTGCAAGTTTTTCTTTTTATAATACAAAAATGAAAAACAGTGACAATTTTGTACTGCTTTCCAAACTACTGATTTGTGTATGACGTACAAACATACATGTTCATATATTTTATATGTACAGGTATACCTCACCCTACATCACTATGTCCTGGGTATGACGATAAACTACATCCAACAGCAAGGCCTCTGGTAAGGAGGTTTTGAGGAGCATGGAACCACCTCTTAATTGCTGGTGTTCCCAGGTCCACCCTGATCTGGAGTGGTAGCACCTGTTAGGGTCCCAGCTATGGGCAAATAGTTAACACCCAAACTTGTGTAAAAATAGGTTTTAATATCAGAAATACTTTTTAATAAAAAAAAATTATTACCAGCAATAATTTTTGATGGAAAACTTATTATCAGCAATACTTTAAAATAAAAAATAAATACCAGCAATACAGTTATACATTCTTTGAAAAAAAAGTATGACCAGCTATAGATTTCTTCAAATAAAAATATTTCCAGAAATAGATTTTTGAAGAAAAACATATTACCAGCAATAAAAATTTTGTCGTCATGAAATAACCCATTGAGGTGTTGATATGCCGTAAAACAAACCAAACCAAACCAAACCTACATCAATAACTGGTTCCAGATGTCACGACTTAGGTTGAAAAATGACTTAAGTAAAAATAACCACAATAAACTGCAAATAAGCACACCCCATTGCCTATTACATGATATGATATATATGGACATGATATGATATGTACGGACATGATATGATATGTACATACACTATTCAGAATGAAAGAATTAAAAATAATTGAGTAAAAACCAATTTTACATTTACATAAACTCATGCAAAATGACCTAAGGCAATATTTACATTATTTGGACAATCATCCTCATCTTTGTTGCCATATTTATCACAACGTTTCGGCTGTTGTACGCTCCAGCCTTCTTCAGGTGGTTGGAATGTCAAACCCTTTATTTAGCTCACTAGGGTAGACTATTCTAGTGCCATGTCTAATGGATGTCAGTTATCTCCTGTTAATTCCCCACTCCAAGTTCTCCACTGACTTAACCACACTTTTTAGGCCCTGTCACTGGATCTAAATAACGCCTTTATCTACTGTGCCTTGTGTCCTCAAGGACATCTGTGTATGAATTTCTGGGTATTATAAACCGTTTTTTACCAGTGCTCATATTGTAATTTTTGCTGTTATGATTAAATGTTTTTACCAGAGCTCATATTGCAATTTTATTTTTCTATATAACATTTAAGAAAAACCGACATATCTTCAAAAATAACTCAACTCGAAATGACTTAAGCCAAGGTATCACTGTACAAGCCTTTGTAGAAAGCAAGAATTCACATACTGATTTTCAAAGCAGCATATGGTGAGGTTTTCTTCCTCCTAACATCATATTAGATTAATCTCTCTCTCTCTCTCTCATTTACAACTCCAGACAAAATATTATGCAATCACTACATTTACAGAATAGCTAAGCAGATATTTTAAATCATAGAAAATAAACAAATCACAGATATGAGAAAATTTTTGTTTAATAATTGAATATTCTGGCTTCATGCAATATACATCCAAGAAATTAGATTAAATTATTTAAATTGATGGCATATTTTTTCAGGTCAAGTACACTATGTCAGATTTCATTATACGAGTCAATATTTTCCTAATAAAATTAGTACTCTATTAACCAAACTGATGTTGGAAAAGATATACATATATCTAGATAAGCAATATTTATCCTTATTAAAAGATATTGAAAATAACTTGTTTTGATGTGTTCAGTTTTCTATTTAAAAATACTTTATTTATAAATAAATCCAAATCTATAGGGCAAAAGGATATATTTGATTAACATAATATTCCATACCAGAAATATGCATGAAAATTTCATGGTTTTTCTATCTGAATTTTCTGATGGATAATGGTTGAATAAGTTCATGGTGAGTCCTACAGTGATAAAATATCTGTAGAAATTTGTGTATCACATTGTTAAATATTTAAGCTTAACATATTTAACAAAATATTACAATAACAGTCATAAGTAAATGGTTAAAAATGAAAAGATTTGAAATTGAAAATATTTTCCATTTCACTGAGACAGAATGTTTGCACCTCTTCTTTAGTCCCTTCTTCCTTTCATTTTCTCACTGACACCAAATAGTATGCCTGATACTTCATTTCTGTCTTTCCATCGATCTATCATAACCTGATCACATCTATTCTATCTATCATAACCTGTTCATATCTATCACAACCTGTTCATATCTATCATAACCTGATCATATCTATCTATAGATCTATCATAACCTGATCATATCTATCTATCATAACCTGTTCATATCTATCTATCTATCTATCTATCATAACCTGTTCATATCTATCTATCTATCTATCTATCTATCTATCTATCTATCTATCATAACCTGTTCATATCTATCTATCATAACCTGTTCATATCTATCATAACCTGATCATATCTATCATGACCGGATCATATCTATCATGACCTGATCATATCTATCTATCGATCTCTCTATCATGACCTGTTCACATCTATCATAACCTGTTCATATCTATCTATCATAACCTGATCATATCTATCATAACTTGATCATATCTATCTATTGATCTATCTATCATGACCTGTTCATATCTATCATAACCTGTTCATATCTATCTATCTATCATAACCTGATCATATCTATCTAACTTGATCATATCTATCGATCTATCTATCATGACCTATTCATATCTATCATAACCTGTTCATATCCATCTATCTATCTATCATAACCTGATCATATCTATCTATCATAACCTGTTCATATCTATTTATCTATCTATCTATCTATCTATCTATCTATCATAACCTGTTCATATCTGTTTTCTTTCTATCTGCGTCTGTTTATTATCTATCTGTTATGGGACCTTACCCATAATAACATAATGGACTATTCCATATGTAATAAATACTGCACCTCAAGAGGAAGCAGGGAGTTCAGTCTGAAGTCTGGAGTGAAGTCCGTCAGGAGTCTGTCAGTCAGTCAGAGCGAGCAAGTCAGTCAGTCGAGTCAGAAGCAGTCCGAAACAGAGTCGCATTCAGACAATTACTACTAAACCTGATTGTTCATACTAACACATTCTACTTCTCTGTATATATTCCTGTTTGTAATATATCTGTGTTATTCCATATACGTGTTCAAGTTCTTCTTTATTGGTTCTTCCTTGGACTCTCACCGTGGTACAAGGAACCGGACCATAACACTATCACAGTTCATATCTATCTGTCATAAGCTGTTCATATCTATCTATCTATCTATCTATCTATCTATTTATCTATCCATCCATCAATCTATGTATCATAAACTGTTCATATCTATCTATCATAACCTGTTCATATATATCTATCTATCCCACTCTGTTCATATCTATCTATCTATCTATATCACTCTGTTCATATCTATCATAGGCTGATCATATCTATGTATCATAACATGTTCATTATCTGTCTATCTATCTGTGTCTGTTTATTATCTAACTCTGTTCATATCTATCTATCTATGATAAACTGTTCGTATCTATCTATCCCACTCTGTTCATATCTATCTATCTACCTACCTACCTATCTATGCATAAATCTATTTATAATAACCTGTTCATATCTATATATCATAAACTGTTCATATCTATCTATCATAATGTGTTCATATATATCTACCTATCTATCCCACTCTGTTCATAGCTATCTATCTATCAATCTATCTATATCACTCTGTTCATATCTTTCTATCTATCATAGCCTGATCATATCTATGTATCATAACATGTTCATTATCTATATATCTATCTATCTATCCATCAATCTATTTATAATAACCTGTTCATATCTATGTATCATAAACTGTTCATATCTATCTATCATAATGTGTTCATATATATCTATCTATCTATCCCACTCTGTTCATAGCTATCTATCTATCATAGCCTGATCATATCTATGTATCATAACATGTTCATTATCTATCTATCTATCTATCTATCTATCTATCTATCATAACCTGTTCATATGTATCTATTTATCTATGAGTTCTGGAAAAATTATTAAATCACTTAGAGGATGTTCATCCATCATTGCTTACTTCATAACAAACAAAGCATAAATATGAGTGTAAGAAATTTTGTTTAATATCTATATATTCTGGCTTTGTGAAACATATCTTAAACAAATTAAATGCAATTATTTTGACTAATGGTATAATTTTTTTCTGATCAAATAGAAGAAAAAACATTGAATTATAATTATTTATTGTTGTTAAGGCTTTTATGACACTTGAAATTCTTTGAAGCATGGAAATGACTAATGTAAAACAATATGGTTCATGAAGCTGGTCTCAGCTTTCTCAAATAGTGACTAACAGATCAACTTTACAGCAGAGCAAAAAATGCATTATCATCATGCTGACAAATCAAAACAGAATAGTCCATTATTTATGAGGTATTGACAAGGTGTAATGGTCATAACTAAATAACTAAGGGAGTGACAAGCTGAATTATAACTGGAATAAATTGTACACTATTTACATTATTTGGACTATTGTCCTCATCTTTGTTGCTATATTTATTATGTTTCAGCTGTTGTACGCTACGGCCTTCTTCAGGAGGTTGGAATGTCGAACTGAACCCTTTATTTTCTTCACTGGGATAGACTGTTCTAGTTCCACATACCATGTTTTAATGGATGTCATTTATCAGTTATCTCCTGTTAATTCCCCTCTCCAACTTCTCCACTGCCTTATCCGAGTATTGAACTCACTGGATCTAACCAACACCTTTATCCTCTATACCATGTGTCCTTGAGGACATCTGTGTATGAATGTCTGGGTATTATAAACCTAATGTCTCAGCAATCATTTTTTATACCAGTGCTCATATTGCAATTTTTGCTGTTATCATTACATGTTTTTACCAGAGCTCATATTATATATAAGTGGACACTTAAGTCAACACCAACTATCTCTGATAGATCTTTTCTGTCTTTTCATTAAAACGGAATAGTCCATTATTTATGAGGTATTGACAAGGTGTAATGGTCATAACTAAATAACTAAGGGAGGGACAAGCTGAATTATAATATGATACCAGAATAAATTGTGTTTTTTATATAACATCCTATGGGCTTCTTGATATTCTTTAACTTTCATCAGTTTTTCAACCATTGAATTTGTTAACTGTTCAATTGTCTTTAAACAGTGTTTATTGTTTGCTGATAATTTTTGCCTGAATATATTTTGCCATTCTTATATACAACCTTTTTAATAAATGATCACAAGTTTTCTACTGGATTAATATTTGAAGAGACTGAAGACATTTCTATTACCTTAGTGTCTTTGAAATATTTTTTAGGAACATGGTCAATAGCCATCTTTGCAGAATGTGAAGGAACATTGTCTTTCAAGAATGCACTCTTTAACTTCAGACTTTTTTTAGTTTTGAACTGTATCACTCGAAAATAAGTATAGTACAAAAACTTCCACTAATTCTCTGCATTTATTTTGACACCATCATCAGTTTTGAAGGTATCCATTAACTGTATTGCTTAATATGAGCCAAAAGTATTACTCCATCACTCTTTTTTGCCTTTAAAATTGCTCTCATTTACCCACTATAGAGAACCCTCCCTGCCTCCTATCTGTATGGCTTATGCCCAACTCCACGAAAGCGTTTCTCTGCACCTTCTTGCTATCACGTTTTCCAATGACCCAAGGTGGAACAATGACATTGAATCAATAGATTCTTCTACCACAAAGAAAGTTGGTTCTCTGTGTTGTGCCAGAAGGTTTTTCTTGCCTGAGTCCATCCTTCAAATCTAAAAATCTACCATTCGTCCTTGCAATGAATACTGTTGCCATATATGGACTGGTGGCCCCATTATTCATCTTGAGGTCCTCGACAAAATCCAGAGACAGATATGCAATGTGATAGCTCCTGGTCTGGCATTTTGTCTACAGTCACTTTCTTACAGACGTAAAGTGGCTTCCCTCTGTCTTTTCTACAAATATTTTCATGGCAACTGGTCCGACGAGCTACTTTCACTGGTGCATGAATTTAAGCATTCTACTAGGTTGGCATCTCAGTCCCAACCTTTCACTGTCAAAGTGGTTAAATGTAACCTCTTCTTCTACTCCAACAGCTTCTTCTCTCGCACTTCCCGACAGTGAAACTCCCTTCCTCTTATTTGCTTCCTTGATAGCTATAATATTCACATATTCAAACACTTCTCTTGCTTTCACTCTCTGTAACCACTTGTGTGCTAGTGGAACTCTCACCTTGCCTGGGGTGAAATGCTTAAAACAAAAGTTACTTATTACCTTTAGTGTAGCTTCCTCTAAACCATCCATCAGATCTTTCTAATATAATTTACAACTAAAATTTACTGTTGAGAAATGGGGTTTCATTAATTCTTCACTCAGCTTATATGTTTCTCTTCATGATATATGGCTAAAGGTTGTAGCCATGTTTTTAGTTAATATTCTTAATGTACTGCATCTTCTCTGTTTGCATTCACACCCCCTTCTTCAAAAATCTCTTTTTTCCAAGTTTGACATCTCGGTCCCATCTTTTCACTGTTGAAGCAGTTAAATGTAACCGCCTCTTCTACTCTAACAGCTTCTTCTCTCGCACTTCCCGACAGTGAAACTCCCTTCCTCTTACTTGCTTCCCTGATAGCAATAATCATTTGCTCAATTACCTTTTCTTGTCTATGAGGCTTGTCATTTTTATTGTATCATTGTGGCATTCTGAAGCTATTTTTTATTATCATTCCAATGTTTTCAATTTATTTTTTGATGTCTGTTCAACTTTTTTTTACAATTTTCAATTACACATTCCCATTATTCGATATCATTACAATATCTTGCTTATCTTTTGAGTTTCTTGACTGCTGACCTGAGATGGAACAAATACATTGAATCAATTGCTTCATCCACTGCAAGGAAAGTTGGCTCCCTGTGCCGCGCCAGGAAATTTTTCTCCCCGGATTTGATCCTTCAGATCTACAAATCAACCATTCATCCTTGCATGGAATATTGCTGCTATATATGGTCTGGAGCCCCTTCTGTTTGCCTTGGGGTTCTTGATAAGCTCCAGAGGCAGATATGCAATATAATTGGCCCTGTTCTGGCATCTCATCTACAGTCGCTCTCTCATAGACATGCTGTCGCCTCTCTCTCTTTTTTACAAATACTTTCAAGGTAATTGCTCCGAGGAGCTGCATTCGCTAGTTACCAGACTTCATGAATTCAAGCATCCTACGAGACTGGCATTCTGCTCTCACCCTTTCACTGTAGAAACTACTAAATGTAGCCATTTCTTCTACTTCAATAACTCGCACCTCTCACCTGTGGAACTCCCTTCCCTATTCCAGTTTCCCTGAGCGCTATAATCTCCAACTATTCAAATGTAATGTCAATCGATATCTCCAGTTGTCTTGATCTATCCACTATCCTTCTCCTCATCCTTTCCTCTATCACTCCTATCTGATCTTGCTCCAAATCTTCTGTAACCCCTTGCGTCCTAGTGGCTTCCCGCCTATACTATTGTAAATTTTTATTTACAATATGATGAACAACTCATGTGCATAAAAAAAATCTCATGCTACCAAAGAAGTCTATCACAAAGTGTAGAAAAAGATAACTTGGTTGTTCCCAAAGAATTTTGTCTAAAATTTGGTACAAGTTTATAAACAAAATGGCAATATTATATGAAGGCATTTACATTAGTCGGACTATTGTCCTCATCTTTGTCGCCATATTTGTCACAACGTTTCGGCCATTGTACGCTCCGGCCTTCTTCAAGTGGTTGGAATTTCAAACTGAACCCTTTATTTCGATCACTGGGGTAGACCATTCTAGTTCCACGTGCCATGTTTGATGGATGTCAGTTATCAGTTATCTCCTGCTAATTTTCCCTCTGAAAGTTCTCCACTGCCTTAACCAGGTATTGAACTCACCTTCTTTGGGTCTGTCACTGGATCTAACCAACACCTTTATCCACTGTGCCATGTGTCCTTGAGGAAAATGTAGACAGATTATATGAAGAGTTGGGGAAAAGTTCTCAATTTGACCTAGCTTTAAAAATCAAAGCAGAACATAACTTTGCATTATAATTTTTTTTTTTTTTTTTGAAATTCCCTCTTTTAAGGATGTCAAGGTAAAAAGAAGATATGCAAGTAAAGCATAGAAGATCTGAAGTCATCGGAATTGAAAACTCAAAGAAATATACAATGTAAAAGAAAATGTACAGCAAAACAAATGAGCAGAAACAGAAATCAATATTTGTGGGACAATTGAAAATATCCGATGCTAACATCCGTGTAAAGGACAACAAGGTTACAATTGCTTACAGAGAATCTAACACTGAAATAGAAAACAAGGTTACAATGGGTTATAGAGAAGTAACCCATTGTAATGTGGATGATTGGATAAAAATCATATCTACATTGGCCAAGGCAATGATTCAGGAACTTTTATCTGATGCTATTCCAATGAAACATATAAAGATGACTGTGTGAAGAAAGCAAATACATTTACCCAATCATTTATGATATGCAACTGAATGTCATATAAAGGAGAAGGGAAGTCAGAAATCATTGCCTCAATGCACAGATATATATTGAAATTTTGGACACTTTTTTTATTGCCTTGATAGAATAATAGGTTTGAAAATGAAGTCATTTGTCAGCATGATGATAATGCATTTTTTGCTCTGCTGTAAAGTTGATCTGTTAGTCACTATTTGAGAAAGCTGAGACCAGCTTCATGAACCATATTGTTTTACATTAGTCATTTCCATGCTTCAAAGAATTTCAAGTGTCATAAAAACCTTAGCAAAAATAAATAATTATAATTCAATGTTTTTTCTTCTATTTGATCAGGAAAAAATTATACCATTAGTCAAAATAATTGCATTTAATTTGTTTAAGATATGTTTC